GAACATTCGGCAAACGTAGTTTCTCGGTAAACGTAGTAAAAGTATCTGTATTTTTTTCTTTTTTTTTTTCTCTTTGCCGAGTGATTACCCACCAAGGACCGAGTCTCTTGCCAGTCGCCACTCGAAAGATTTTACGCAATAATAGCACAGCGCATGTTACGTTTCAGTTCTCGAAGCAGAGAGTTACAGACGTATACAAGGCTAGGTAGAGCAACCCCGTGTTGCGGATGTTAATGTGGCTTTGCTCGTAGGAATCGTTACAAAACCAGGAAAGTTTAACGATTCCCATTATTTTGTAACGCCTCGGTTCTGCCTCGGATTAGAGATGGACGTTAGACAACGGGCGTGCCTTCTACTGCTGTTATAGGCTTACCGTACTTATACGTTATAAACTATGTCAATAGAAATGAACGAGCAAAAATATATGCGATTTTTCGGAGAAATTTGGATGATCGCCGAATTGAATTTTATTCAAAAAATGACGACAATCAAATTCGAACGACCGATCAGAATTCTCGAATAAAGGGTGAGCTCTGGTTGAAAAATCGTTATTTTGTAATCGAAATAAAATGCAAATACGTTACGATTTCTAACCGCCTGAGTAGGGGTGATTGAGAATCGAGGTCGATCGTTTCTCCCTACGGCTAGATAGACGATAAAAAGTACTGACTAATCGCGATTATGTGTTTCGTTAAAATTTAACGCGTAACGAAAGATGTGTGTACATATCTATATCCATATATATATATATGTACGTGCATTTTCTAACACGAACAGAATTCCGTTTTTACTTCAAGAAAGGATGAATCATGCTTTATTTACGTAAGAACACCTACAATAGCCTAAACACATTTTATGAAATGTATATAGAACAAACGTTTTTAATAAGTTTTTAGCAACCTTCGACAATCCGAAATGCCATTAAACTATTTTGAAAGCATAATTGACACGATAGACTACACGATAATGTAATTCGTCGACTATCGATCGGAAGAAAAGTAATCGAAGAACCGGTAGAATGCAATTTTTTTTACCCTTCTTGTGACCGCGTTCCTCGTCGTTCGAGAATGAGTGGAGATTTCCAAAGGGAATGGTCATATACCTTGTGACTCGAATGATTTCCCGGGTACTGGATCTGAGGTAACGTGGAAAAAAAAGAAAAAAGAAAAAAGAAAAGAGGTAGATAAAATATTTACAATCGCCGATATACCTAGAATGTTGGATTTTATAATGTGTCACGTATCGTTAGACACAAAAAATGTAGAATTGTTATCTAAAACTCGAAATCTCGAAAAAGCTAATTGATTAAAATCAAAGGATCAAGAGGGATCGACCAAGGATCTATGTAGCGGATATCTTGAATAGAAAATCAATTTTTTTCTTATTCGTTTATGCTTTTTGACAGACGCGTTTGTGCCTGTCGACTGCAAGTCTCGAATGCTCCAGATTCGTAAGCCAAGGATGGCGATTGCGACAATCAAGATGCCGGAGGCTATGTGTATTCCCATATCTGTGAACCGAGCTAAGAACCGTCTTAGAAAGTGAACAGAAGCACGCTTGCGTGAGTTTGAGCCTACTACAAACCTTCTCTTTCGGTATCTATATACAAATTCTATATATATCTATATATATCTATATATATCTATGTATATATCTATATATATCTATATATATATATGTATGTATACATAGATATATATATGTATACATATGTATATATATGTATATATACATATGTATTTTTTAATCATTAAAATATGATATTCTATTATTAGATAAGAATATTCGATGATACTGACAGAAAATGGGTTTCTCGATCTGTAAGAATTTAAAACTTAAATAAATGGACGATTATGACGTCGACAAATCTTTCTGATTAAAAAAAAATATCTATTTCATTAGATCATTATTATTACCTCTAAAATTCTTATTTACCTAGAAAAATAATTGTTTAAACACTATTAATTAGAAGAAAAACACTAGAAAAAAGATAGAAAGAAGTAGTTAAAAGATTATCTCATCTCGTTGTGCCAGAGCCGCAGGCAATGACTTTGAGAATGACAAAAATGGAAAGAAGGCATCTTACGGGGTATGCATCGTGTATATCCACGTGCATACATACTATGTAAGCATGTACCATTCACTCGTAAAGACAGAGCTAATTATTTTCCCAGGGACAGCATTATTAATTATTCTCTTTCTAATCCTAGACTAGATCGAATTATTTTCGAATAACTTTAAAAAAGGATAAAAACAAAGAACTACTTCGATCGCATTCTTTTTTTCATCTTTTTGTTTTTTTTTCTTTTTCTTTTTCCTTTTCTTGTCTTTGACGGAACGAAAATAAATTTTGTTAGGTTAAAAGACCCTCAAATATCATGGGATTCGTTACATCCATTAGTAACGAAACGTACGTTTTATTTCATATGTTGCAAAACCGAACTCGTTCAAGTAAACTTTCTTCGCGAAAGCGGCCACGATTGATAGGAACGTATTAGCTTAAACCCGGAAGAAAATTGGTCGGTCGACGTTGCTCTACCGTCTCGTAAAGCACCATTCGCCTGACTTGGTAACTAAATTACTTCGTTCCTCGTTCTCGTAGGATATCCGACGCAATCCTAGGCAAATTAAAAATGTTATAATACTTTGATTTAAAAAAAGAAAAGAAAAACGCAAAAACAAAATTCTAGATGCTAATCCAACAAATAATGCGAATTAAAGTATATATCGTTAGAATATAATCTAATCAAATAATCGATAATCTCGATATAATAATTATAATAAAATATAAAATAGATAAATTATTTTTTTATTGACAAAATTGTGAAATTGTTTTTCATGATTCGAACATCCTTATCGCAAAGAATTTGTATATATGTATAAGTATTTTACTTATATCTTCCTGGATTCCATGAATAAGAAAAGAAAAAGTCGGTCGATTTGATTAGTCGATCGCAGAAACGAACCGCGAAAGAATTACGCAATTGAACGGCCGAATAACCGACCATGCCACGACAATGAGTTTTTCAGAAGTGCAATTATTTTTAGAAAGGAGTCATAATATTTCTAATAACGTCTCACTATGAAAAGTTTTACGTCGTGGAATCCGGTAACGTTTAAAAAAGCGGCCAAGTATTTCGAGATCTAGTACGCATGATTCATTATCATTATTTATCGCAAAGTATTATTTACGATGAATATAAACAAAATAATATTTTATAATAATTGCGTAGACTAATTTAAATAGTCTTAATCGTTCCCAATTATATTATAAAAATCATTAAAATTCATGTTTTTTTTAACATAAAAGTGTATGTGGATATAAATGTATTAAATTTAAAAAGTATTTATCGAATCGAAAAATATCGAAAACATTTAAGAATCGATATCACTCGAGTTCTCTATTTCGCCGACAGATGGCGCTTAGATAGAATGAAACAGGCAAATGGCCGACACGTCAAAGAGTAATATTACGTTAGCGGGAAAAAGAATTTTTTGGCCTGTTGTTTTCTATATATCTTGACTTTCTGAAGCTTTTGTAAATAATAAATTTGTGGTATGATATCCGTAGATAGCAACGGCAAGCTTCAAGATGAGGTTAGTTCATTGTTAAATCGATCATGGTATCTATTACAAAAAAATTTTCTATTAAGGTTAAGTTGTTTATTTACTATCAAAAGTTTCTAATTTTTCGTAAAAATATAGATTTTAATGCATCTTTTTATTTTTGTCTTGTACATAAATTGATATGAATTACTTAAATATTATAGGAAAGCACTAGTGAAAATGGATCGGACGAATATCCAAGAATACCTATTTCCTCGTTAGATAGACCTAAAGAATGGACTTATACTATGAGAAGATGCATGCAGGTATACAATTTCTTATCTCTATAATGACGCACATGAGTCTTTAAGATAATAAATAAAATTAATTTCTTGACAATATATTTTTAGAAAGTGGTACCTGGTTTGTATCTCGGACCATACAGCGCTGCGAGTCGAGCCAAATTGCAATCTTTGATAGAACACGGCATCACTCATATAGTCTGCGTTAGACAAGATATAGAAGCACATTTTATACGGCCAAACTTTCCTGATAGATTCAAGTACATATTTATTTGCGTCGTTAAGATAATTAGACATGTATAAAGAAATATTTAAATATCGTAGGTATCTGGTCTTGGATATAGCCGATACTGCCACAGAAAATATAATTCAACATTTTCAAAGGGTTAAAGAATTTATAGATGAAGGTATAAATTCCGGTGGTCAAGTTCTAGTTCATGGTAATGCAGGGATATCGAGATCAGCCGCATTAGTTTTAGCATATGTAATGGAAACTTATGGACTTTCACAAACGTAAGCTGCCTAATATTGATGTACTTATCTATCGTTAAAATTTCCTAAATATTTATTGATATTTTAGTCATGCATATGCCATAGTACAACAAAGGAGATTTTGCATAAATCCGAACGAAGGATTCATGGCACAATTAAGAGAGTACGAGCCTATATATCAAGCGCAAAAAACATTGAGGAATGGTCAACAAAGTTCTATAAGACAACGAAGCAAAAGAACGATTCATCAAATGGATACTGAACGAGTCGAAGATAGAACAAATGCAATGGATAGTTGATAGCGAGTAAAAATATGCCAAAGTTACCAAAAGACTTAATTTATATTAAAAAAGAATTTAAGGTAGTACATTATACCTTATCGTATTTCAGTTAACCACTGAAATATAGATTATTAAAAAGACATTAAATTCAAATGTACCAGTATTTAAGTGACTGGTTGTAACATATTTTGGATTTAAACAATAAAACGATCTATAATAATCTAAAAAAGAAAAAAAAAACAAAAGGAAACAGAAAAAAAAGACTTCGATAGAGCTATTTCTATAGCCACTATGTAAATTTAAACATTAAAACATACTCATTTCCATTAGTATGTAAATTATATGTAATATTATCAGTTTTATAAAATGAACGCCGTGATATTCTACATGTAACAATCTTTTATTTACTAAGCTTTTAAATACATCTTTACTACTGTCATCGATAAATCATAAAGAAATATAAATAATATTTTCGATGAACTTTTCTTACCAGTTTGTTAATTTTTACAAATTTTCATAACATACCAAGAAATACTTCCATATGCCAGATTTATCGAAATATAGGCATAATAAACATTAACTAAGGATTATTTCATAATTTTAATTTTTATAAATCAATTATACTTATAATAATTACAGACCAATATCATTAAGAACATAATTAATTGAAAATAGTAAATAATTACAAGTAAAAATAATCATATTCACATATATGAGGTTTCTATTTAATTTTTACTGGTATTTTAACACAAATAATATCCTCTTTATTCTTATTTTGAAGTTCCCACTTAACTGTAACAGACAACTGTAAATAACGATAAAAGAGAAATGTTAGAAATATTTAATTCTTATTATTTTCGTAGAAAAATAATTATTTATATTACCCTAGGATACTTTGGATCGACTGGTAAAACAGCTTTATAAGTATATTGAGTATCCTTTTTCAAAGGACACTGTATATTAGATTCAGCATTTGTACATACATTAGGATGTGGTAAAGGAAATGGTATTGGCACATCTGCAATTATACCATGAACAACTGCTTCTACTTCTGAAACATCCTGAGCTAAAAAAAAGCATATCGATACATATGATAATTTAATTTATAGAAAATTATATAAAAGAAAAGAGAAGTAATTTAACTTACATGGTATAAAGTCTATAATTAGAGTTGCATTAGTATTTCGAACGAATTCACATGCTGCTTTGGAAGTATCACAATTAGAAACGGTAATTTTTGTGAAATGTCCAATCTTAGAACCTACAAAAAATAATTAAATAAGAAATCGAATAATACCCTGATATTAACAGTTATAATAATGATCATATATGTATCACATGAACAAAAGATTACAATTATTAAAATACATAATCTACAATTACATAAAAATCACGTTTATAATCAAAAATTTTATCCGATAAACAATATGTTAGGTTTACCAGAAATAGAGAATTATACGAATTACGAATGCTTACGTAAAAAGAAAAAAAAAAGTAGAAATAGAATCAATTTAATGATAGAGTAAAAAACTAACAATCATTTTACATATGAATTTTACGAGACGAAAAAAAAATTCAAAAAATATTGTAGAAAGAAAATAAAAATGTCGTAAACCGTATAAAATCGTCAGCAATTACTTTATTATTATAACAATTTTTTGTGAAAAGGAAATTGTGAAAAGGACTCATTGGCTCGCATTTTATGATCAAAAGCATGAATCACGCATCAAAGTCAAATCAAATGAAATAATTAATTACACGAACGAATAGTTACAAATAATACCTGCTACTTCAATGATATACTTTATTGTAATAGCATCGTAATAGTTATAATATTTGTAAAGTTTAATACAAGCAAATAAAATTTAATATTATAAAACATTTTTTTTTTTTTTTTTTTTTTTTTTTTTTTTTTTTTTATATATATATATAAGAAAAATTCAATTATATCATTAATTGCAAACTTTATTTCTTCTCTATTTGTTGAAATTATCATTTTGAAAAGAAAGAGATTTGATATTATAAAAAATTAATTTTGAACGATAGAAAATGATTCGTACGTATATTATCTCACGAAATGTGATATGACATATATAAAAGAAAGTATCCTTTGACTCTACGATGGATGATAATGTACGCCACGAATTAAATTCGTCATTTCTTCCATGGACAAAGACCTTGTTACAATATAGACTAATTGAATTTACAGACGAAAATTTTAACGATGTAAATAATAGAAAAACTGAGACTATAAATTAACTACAATTTAAATTGTTTCTCGAAAATAATAATCTCCTGACGACATATTATTTCGTTTAAATTTTACCGCTTAAAAAAAGCGCGTGACACATAACAACGACGATAAATACATCAAAGTTCATTACTATTAAATTCACATTAAACAAAAAAATCACGCAAAAAATACAAAACATTGTTCTAATAATAAAAAAGAAAAAAATTACTAAAAATAAATAAAAGGCTAACAATTTTTTTAGCATACTATAAACAGAAAAAGATAAAAATTGATATGTTTCTTACCACAATCCAGGAATTCGACAGCATAAGAAAGCTCAATGACACCAGAAACAAAAAGAAACGTGCAGAGAAAGATCCAACGAATCATCTTGTTGTTGCTTCTTCGGCGTTCCCGCGCTGATTAACACTGATCGTTGAGAAAGACACAGAGTGATGGTACTTAGGTATAGAAGAGGCCATGGGGGCGGGAAGACGTAGAGATGGAACGAAAGTGAAGCGCCTCTGTAATGATTAGTTGCTCTTCGTCTACGACATGGGGAAATATATTACGACGGTGTTTACCTATAGCCTTTGTGACATTATCATCTAACCAATTTTTATGAGAAACTTACGAGTTTTTATTTTTTATTTTGTAAACATTTCACCTCTAATTATATCACTTCAACGTAACTTCTTGTTTCTATTTTTGTTAAAAAAGAAACAAATAATTTTACAAAGATAATACGTATTTCCTTATCAAATTACGACAAAACCATCCTTATCAAATTACCATGAAATTTTATGTAGTTCTTGTTTGTGTGTATGTCTGTGTATGTCTACACATAGAAAAAAAGAAGATAAAGATGACTTATGAATCAACATAACTATATATTGTCTCTGTCATATATGAACATTGGATTATATACAAATGAGATAAGTAGGATAATGCTATTGTAACGATAATTGGTTTGGTTTCCTGCAGAGTATGCAAATAGATATAATATTGGCGAATCATATTGATTCTTACGATTTCATACGAACATATCGATATATTACTATACAACGAATTATTTGTGTTTTTATAAGTTATATAGGTCTAATGAAGATAAAAGACACAGAAAATAAAATTAAAAATGCACTTCCCTAATGTTTCTCTTATAGGCATAAGACATTCAAATTAGCGCGGTAAAGTAACGTTGATGCTATCATGATGGCGCTTCGATACAACGTCATAAGTCGGAAATGACGTATCTACGACGTTCATCCACGTAGCTCATGATTATCTTGTGATCGTGTTGATTGACGTCAAATACGGCACTTTGTATAACGTTCTCTGTTCGTGCACAACGTAAGTATTATAATAGAAGATATCTTTTTTATTTTTTATTAAATGTTACTCTTTCATATATATTTTAATTATCTGTAATTTATCAAGAGAACGTTGATTTTTTGTAACCTAATATCTAGTACGTTTTATATTTCAGGTTAGATATATATAAAGTATATTTTGTTTTCATAAATCTTCATATAACTGTGGATGTTATTTCTGACTTATTTTATGTCTATATTCATTAGTAAGTTTAGTTTAATATCAAAAAAGGTTTAATTTGATATAAATATAAAATATTCAGTCAAGATTAGAACCTTAAAGTGTATCAAATATAGATACTTTGCTTATTTTAATGAACGCTTAAACAATAGCTTTAATTTCGTTACAAATAGACTACATTTCCATATGTTTAAAGAAAATATATGTATTATTTGTTAAAGAAATAATTTATGAAAATTAAGAAAAAATTTAACATTTAATACATATATTAAGTATTAAATGTTAAAGAAAATATATGTATTATGTATGAACTTATAATTAACAACAAACAAGATAAATCAGTTGTTTTGTAGCTATTAAAGTGTTATTTGTTTTCTATGATCCGCAGAAATTTTACTATCATGGATCAGGTTAAAAAACTAACAGAACCAGGACGCCAGTTCGCCAAAGACAGTATACGTCTTGTAAAAAGATGTACAAAGCCAGATCGAAAAGGTATAAGAAATATTTCTGTAATATAAAGAAATAGAAGGATATTTTTCTTTAATGCATGTGTCTTTTTTTTTTTTATAGAGTTTCAAAAAATTGCAATCGCAACTGCCATCGGTTTTTGTATAATGGGTTTCATAGGATTTTTCGTGAAATTAATTCATATCCCTATCAATAATATCATTGTGTAAGTACTATCTAAATTTATTTTTTCAAAAGTTCTTTAAAATTTCAAAGCTAAACATTTATAATTGTTCACAGGGGTTCGTAAATTCGTACTATATAAAAAATATTGTTAAGCTATAATAAGTTCACCTGGTCTGTCCTCCGCTCCTATTTTAACTTAATTTATATAATATAATATTTGTTTATTAAATTTATCATGATTATAGAAATAAATACATAAGATGTGTATAATACAATGAGTTTTATAATAAAATAAGAAAAAATAATCGATCTTTTTTTTATTGATGGTTTTTAAAAAAACAAAATATTAATATCCAAGGCACTTTTATTTAGAAAATTAATGATTTTCTCTATGTTTACAATATTAAATTTCTAAAGCCATTGTGCTAATATTATGTTAGCATGTTATTTACAGTTTTTATTTTCGACAGAAAAATATCGTGCAAAAAAAGAACTATGAAAAAGGAAAAAAACACAAGTTTCGAATGAGTTTAATATGAGTAAAAAGTAATCATAGAAAATTTTATAAAAAAAAAAAGCCTGGACATATAAAATTATTATAAAATAACGAGTAATTTGCCCAGGATTATATCTTTTTTTACAGAAATCTCTATAAACATTATATCATTTGCTAGAAATGATCAAATTAAATTTTGAACATTGACAACGTTCCAAAATCAAGGCACATGTTTTAACGAACAGTTTTATGTGCATTTTTACGTATTTCATAAAGGCAGTAATGCGTTTTTTATTTAGCTATAAAAACAGATGCCAAAAGTGTTACTGAAATAACTCGCATGTATGAACACTTATGCATCTAAGAAATACATTTGAAGGCATAAGAAGAAGTATTTCTTTTCGATATTAAACTATGATAATCACAAAAAAAAAGAAATAAATGTGTATAGAGGAATAAAAAAAATACTGTTTTTTGTTTGTTTTTTTTTCCTTTTTTCAATATAAATTTAAAGATGCATTTGAATCTTATATATTAATTGTTCCTAAAATAATGATTTATTAGAAAAAAATAGACACCGATTAGATGTGAGATTATTAATCTTATAACATTTCTATTAAATTATTAAATACTCTCTTCAGGCAACTTAACAAAATTTAATATAATGATAAAAAGAAATATCTAAAGCACCAATGTGTGTAACTATATCGGTTCACTTATTTAAATATATTCTTATATCGTAGGTAATAAAATTTTGTATATGTAATCATCTCATACGTAATAACATAACGTAAGAAATAAATCTTCTCTTCGCTTCAATTAAAAGAAGCGTAGGAAGACTTTGTTTATCACTTAGATTACTTTGATTTTATGGCAGCAGCATTCTAACAAGAAGCATTTGATTTGTCTATTTTAAGCATATTTCTTAATAATCATAATGTTCTGCGCTAATAATTTAATTAACTTACGTTAATTGCAAGAACTCTTTAATATACCCAAGGTACGTTTCGTTATAAAGAATCACAAAGTATTTGCAAAAATATACACATAGAATGTATATAAGAAGAGTGTTTACGCGTGCATGCGTACGCGAACGCGTGTGTATGTGTGTGTGTGAATAGTCAAAAGATCAATTTTTAACGTACCAAGGGAGGGTAACTACCCACAACTGAGGTATATCGTTAGGCACTTATTTTTGATTTTGTTAACAAATCTAACAATCTGTCATATAATAAAATGTACATCAATAATTAATTGTGCATGTATGCCTGTAGGTATAATATATATTTATATTAAATGTCATTAATTATATATTCATAGTAATTATAAGTATCCTGCAAGGGCCAATATCAACAAAAACACTTAACGTATATATCGGGTAAGCATTCTATTTTGTCAGCAAATAAACGAAAAATATCTTTTGATTGTTTGAAAATCGCATGCAGCACTATGTGCAATAAGCGAATCATTCTGCATAATTAAATAGCGTTTAAGATCGAATCCGTTTATTGTACGAATTACAATAAACAAGAATGTCACAGTACGGTTATTACGAAGGAATGTCTTCGAGCGTTCTCTATAGAACATTACGAGCATGTTAAAAAGAAACAAAAAAGAAAGAAAGAGAGAAAATGTAAATAAGAAAAGACAGGTGTATAAGAAAAATGGAAAATATAAAGCTAGAAAAAGAAGAAAGAAAAACAAAAAGTTGTTCACATTTTACACAAATAATAAAATATTAACTTATAAGTTAAGGACTTGTTACGGAAATGAGAGAAGATTAATTAAAATCTGCTCGATTAACCCTTAAATGCACAAGACGTTAATCTTGTATATAATTTTTTCATAATTTCAAGTAGGCAATATATCTTTTGTTTTAAAATAATCCAACAAAATAAATGCATTAAAGGGTTAAAAAGACATGATCAACAGAAATTCTTTAAGAAAAATTCCAAAGCTAATCTAATCATTGTTCTTTATCATCTTTGTATGTGGAATGCATATGTAGTCTTTCCACTATTGATCAAGATCAAGCCGATTCATTGATATTCTTCTCTCAGAAAAAACCGTAAAGAGAAAGTTAAAGCTAAACGGTGCAACCAGAATCGGTGGTTGGTACGTAAGGACTTTCCTGTCGATAGAAATCACCTTCGTATTCCTCGATTTTGACAGGATAATCCGTGACACAGTTTTGAGGTTGATTCAAGGCTGGTGGTGGCTGAACGAAGTTATCCTGGTAACTTGGTAGATGCAATGGTTCGGCATATTGCTGATAAGAGGTATCCGTAGCACCACCTTGTTTCAAACAAGTTGGTCCATGTAAACTGAGCATATCGACCAATCTACGCCTTTGCATCTCCAGCTCCTGGATTTGTGATTTGAGGTCGTGATTTTGTGTTTCTAAGGTCTCAGATTCTTGCACCAGAATCACCGTCTTCTCACGTTTCTTCAGCCGACATTTGGTAGCTGCTATTTTGTTCCTCTCTCGTCTCCTCCGTCGTCTCTCCTCGTCCTCTGGTGTCAACTGTAAGACGTTTAGCGGAGACTGAGATGGGCGAAAGTTAGTAGAGAAAAGAAAAATCTCGCGTTTCGCGTATCTCTCTCTCTCTCTCTCTCTCTCTCTCTCTCTCTCTCTCTCTCTCTCTCTCTCTCTCTCTCTCTCTTCTCTTTTTTGATGATGCTCGATGAGGTAGCGACTTACAGTCACGACTGTTTTTATCGTTTTAGCGAGCTAACAGTATGCGATTTTTGTTCTTACTCCACCCCGGTTGTTGTTGTTGTTGTTGTTGTTGTTGCTCCCGTCGTCCTCCTCCTCGTCGTCCGCACTACCATCCTCTCTTTTAGTCCTCTTCTTCCCCTCGTCACCACTTCCGTTTGCTCGTCTCTTAGTTTGTAACGTCAACTTTAGGCCTATTAACAAACAAATCTGATATAATAAGTATGCAATGTATTTATATTATTTCTCCCCTGTGGGTTGGGGATAAAATATATGCACAGTATTCCCTGGTTATCGTAAAAGGCGATTAATAGGAGTTGAGTATTGGTTCGACAACCCAACCTCATAAAAACCCACTTGTTACTGAGAAAGAAAGTCAAACTGATTACTAGCACAAACTCCTGAAAGAGGTTGACAGTCACTCTGAACCGTAATGCCGATGTATGTATTTATGTATTTATGTATGTATGTATGTATATATGCATAAATTATATAAAAATTATATAATTTATAATAAAATAAGCGAACCTTCCTTGATAAGCTGACTACAAGTATGTTGAACACTTGGTGGACTGGGTTCACCACTGCTAGTCGAGTCGGTACGATCTCTGCTTTTCTCGTTGCCATAGTTCTCGAACGGATTGATCATGGAGATCAAGGAGTTTACGATTTCCGGTGTCCTCGGAGTGACCTCGGCCGCCGCGACACCGAGAAGACTCGCTGCAGCCGTTGGACTAGGATTCACGTTCACGTTTAGATTGTACATGATCGATTTTCATCTAATCTGAAACAACAAATCGTCGATCATGATGTATAAATATAGATCACTATGCGACTCTTTCCTGGTAATAAAATTGCAAATAGTATATGCAAAATTTTTTAAAAGCAATTTTTGTGCATTTTTATAATATTTTTAATAAAAATTAATAAATTATAACATTTAATAAAAATTCATAAATTATTAACATTTGGAAACAGTAAAAATAATTCGCGTCATAAATCGAGTAAAATTACTCCTATCATCTTCCGGCTTGGAAATTCCAGAAACGTTTGATAATGGAGCAACATCCTTGACTGCGGTTTTGGTAATTTTAAAGAGATCAAGTCGAGCCATCACTCTGTTTAAACAAAGTCAATATTCTTTGCTTCTCGAGTGTAAAAGAAAGAAAGAAAAATAATCGAAAGTTGTTCTTATTTCTTATCGATAAACACGAACTAATAGATTCTTAAATCACACGTTTTTGGTTTTATTTCATTTTATTATGAGTTAAAGATTATATTCAAAGAGAAATTATTTTGTACTAATTTTTTAACATTAAAATTGACAAATCTTAAGATCTATCAGAATGTTCAATAAGTAATACTACGTGCACAGTATTTTATTAATACTGTATTAGTACAATATTATTAACATAGCAAATATAATCTAACATATGTCAAATACATCTTCCAAACATGATATATAGGTCAGTAGGTAAATTTCTCGCTGGCAGAGAACCCTTTCTTGTATTTTTACAAGATACTCTTTCTGGAATCCCAAAGACGAGTTCGTCTCGAGGAAGACCTTTTTTATTTCGACTTTTTGTTTTTTTTACTCGAACGACCCACGAGAAATAAGAAAAAAGTCAAAGTAAGAGCGGAGGAGGAACCGTAAATGGTGGAGAAGGAGCAAAAGGAGGTGCTGGTGGAGGTGGCGAAGGTAAAGGAGGAGGAGAAGACGAAGAAGGAGAAGGAGAGTTGCAAGGGCATTAGGCTCCGAATACGGAACGATATAAAATTCTTACGAAACGTTCGCACGCATACACGAAGGAACCCAAGAAACTTGTAGTGAACGTCGTAAATGGATACACTCACAGAAAAAGAAACAGGAACTGAGGAAAGAGAAAGAAGAAGAAGGCTCTCTCTCTCTCTCTCTCTCTCTCTCTCTCTCTCTCTCTCTCTCTCTCTCTTTCTCTCTCTTCTTCTCTCTCTTTTGACCAACAACCACGAACTGAAGAGAATTTCTACGCTCAAAAACCAAAGATGCGACCTACGAAACGACTTTTCTTCGAGAGACTT